CAGGGGGGTTGTATATCAATTGTAATCTAGGGGATTACTATCGATATATAGCACCTTTTAAATTTTGCTGATGATAATTGGCCACTTACATAGTCAATTATACTTCAAATTTTGCTTTATATATATACAATTACTCAGAATATTTTAACTTAAGATTTAGATATCCAAACATTGAACCTAATTTAGATTTGATTCTGATTATTGAATCTAAAATTTTAGTAGATAAAGTGAAAGCCAGATATTTTTAGAATTTAGTAGAGTATAACAAACTATTCTTTTATCAAAGTTAGTTATATATTCTATTAAAGTTAATTATTATATTTTAACTCAAAATTCAGATATTCAAATGTTGAATTTAACTTAAATTTGATTCTGGTTATTAAGCCTAAAATTTGAATTAATATGAAGCAAGAATTAGATTTTTTAAAATTTAATTTAGTAATTGTTATAAAACAACTTTTATACAAAAACCATGGATCTTCTTTAGTATAGGTGGGCATATATAAATTATTACAAGATTATAATATATAAAACTTAACTAATTTAAGCCAATTTAAATTTTAACCTTAACTCTGACCCTAATAAGTTATAAAATTACTTAAATTGGTTTAAAATACTTAATTTATATATATTATAATTGTGCAATAATTATATATATCTACCTATACTAAAGATTAACCAAAACCACTAGCAGGATTAGAAACACAATACAGAAATTTTTAATTTTATTTAATATTATTATATTTAATATAATTATCTATTATTATTATTTTTTAATATTCAAGATAAAGCTAATTATTTATTATTATTAATAGATAATAAAAATAAATTCTTTTTTTCTTTTAATATGCTAAACAATATAACTATGGATAATAAAAGAAATAAAACTATTAGTATTAGAACTTATAGTTATAAAAAATTCTATTTTACTATTTGCTTGTATATATAGCAAATAGTAAAAAATTATCTTCAATAATTATTTTTAAGTTAAAAATATTTCTCAGTTTAAATTTTTTGCTAAGTATAATTATTAAAGCTAATAAAAGTAAATTGATAAATAAAATAAAAATAAGTTTTTGTAAAGATAAGATTTGGTAAAATTATATATCATATTTTGAGAATCTATAATCCTTTTAGTAATAGATTCATTTCAGAATTATATATTTTTTTATTAAAAATAAACTTGTTAAAAAATGCTAATATTGTAATTATTTCTGAAGAATTAATATTAAAATTTCAACCACCAAATATTTTACTTAAAAATTAGTTAAAACAAAGATAGTTCTTTTTTTATAGTAATATATATTAATATATTTTTTTATTAATTAGTAATTTGCCAGTTATCTGGTGCATGATCATAGTGTAATATGATGCAGATTACTATGTAAATCATATATACCCTGAATGTGGTATTCACCCAAGGAAAACTTTTTTGTACTAAGTTAATCACTTTTATGTATTAAGTAAAACTTGTAGAGCTCGTCTAGATGCATCTAATAGTAGTAAGATTATCAAAAATAATCTAGTAGTTGTCAAGATATCACTAAAATAATTGGCTGACTATATAAAATTTCTATGTAAACAATAGTTTATTTACATAGAATTTTATATAGTCAGCCAATTGCTTTTTAGTGATATCTTGCGAAAAATCTAGCATGTAGGGTAGATTTTCCGATCATATGATCTTCCGAACTGTGACCCATCCCAGAATTTGATTCAGAATACTGATCACGAAATTCTTAATTTGGTTTGTAAATTTTTTTCAAATTTGTACAGTATGTACGAACTCTTTATCTGTTATTAACTTGAAATAACAAGTTACTAGTTTCTTAATGATCCTTTTGATCTATCATTTTATATTTTATTCGCAAACTTTGGTCTGCCACTGTAAAACTCTTTTTGGCAAAGAAGAGCGAAGCTTAATTTATGAACTAGTAAAACTTTCTATGCAGATAAAGTTTGCTTTCTCATACTCAAATTTATTGTTAAAAGCAGATCTTACCCCAGCGTGATCTACATAGTATTTTTACTAGCTTGTAACTTAGGTTTCGCTAGTCTTATTACTATTATTTTTGCTTTTTGTAAAAAATTTTTTTTCATTGAGAAACTTATATGACATAATCCATTATTATTGACATATCCAATAGAAAAAATCATTTAAAGACTAAGTAGTATTGGACGTATCAGTAAGGCTTATTCATTTTAATTATATCAGAGTGAATAAAGATAACTAACTGAATTTTAAATAAAACTAGATTTAAATAGCTAAAATACAATTTACTGAAGTTTTTTAGTTCTAATATATATAGCATTTTTATTATCAGTTTGCTGCCTATTTAATTTATAGCGATTTTTAACCAAATTGTTTATTAATATTAAAGAAAATCAGTTTAATCATATGGGGACTCCCACAGCAAAAGGGTGCAATGGGCCAAAAAAATTTTTTTTTTCTAAACTCAATTTTTTGAAGAATTATAACAATTAGTTTCCAATTTTTATAAAATTACAAATTTAAAATTTTTGGCTCATTGCACCCTTTTGCTGTAGGGGTTCCCATATTTGCTTTTAGATTATCATCTGATCTACTAAACATCCTCAAGAAAAAATAATTCGAGTTAAAATAAAATAATTTTTTTTTTCTCTTAAAAAAACAAATTTACACTTACTAACTTATTTTATTTTATTTTTTTTAAAATGGATCGATAATAGTTTGCTATGTAGTTAATAATTTTTTTATATTTGTTATGGCAAAAATAATGTCCAGGGAGTTGATCCACGCCATGTTGGATTACATTTTCTTTTATTTTGTGCTATTTCAATATCTTTTAGTATATTGAATAACTTATCCATATTGTTGACTACCTGCATAACATGGTTTAAGTTATTTGCTAAAAGTTCTTGTTCTAGATGGGTAGCTATACATTTTACTGCAGCCACCTTTTGT